TCTAATGTTTCTTCTTCATCAGTAACAGCCCCGTAAGTCCACTACGGGCTCACCATAGCCCGTGCTACTTGGAGCTTTTTGTTCCCAGTAGCTGAATCTTAAACAACAACAACAACAACAAAGGTGTCAGGTGCAAGGAAACGCCGTACCTGGGACTCGAACCCGGGTAACATCGACTGCAAGCCGATTGCGCTACAAATAATTTACATAATATAAAAACAGTTACAGAAAACTGTCCGACAGTTTTTACTAACCCGATCGATTAACTCAATCATTCACATTTTAACTGACGGACGCTGATACATCAGCTTATGATCACCAGCTGGTGCATAAGAAACCTGAGGAGAAGAGATAAGACCAAGAAAAATAAGCTTTGGAAGATTCTAATTTAAATATAGTTTTCGAACCTTATCTTATCCGGTGAGAGACATTTCAGTCCCCAGTCGAACCAGGCGTTGCCGCCTGAGAAATGAATGGCCAAAAAGCGCTTGGAGGAGTAAAACGCAAGTTAAGATAAGAGCGGGTTTTTTTTTTAGAACTCCCGATATGACTCCCAATACTCCAAATAGTCTAGGGCAGCTGCACAAATGTCCAGGTACCTTAGCATGACGTAGCTAGTTCTTGACACACTCTGTACTCCCCTTCATATAGTCTAGGACAGCTGCACAAATGTCCAGGTACCTTAGCATGACGTAGCTAGTTCTTGACACACTCTGTACTCCCCTTCATATAGTCTAGGACAGCTGCACAAATGTCCAGGCACCTTAGCATCACGTAGCTAGTTCTTGACACACTCTGTTTACACTCTGAGTGTTCTTGGCACACTCTGTAGACTTCATATAGTCTAGGACAGCTGCACAAATGCAGATGTACCTAAATGTGTTCATACAAAAATAGACACTGTTTCCTAAATACAGCAGATTCAGTGTACTCCCCTAATTGTGCTTGCGGGGGTTGAGCTTTGGCTCTTTGGTCCCGCCTCTCAACTGTATGTGCGTGTTCCCGTAACACTGCAGATACAGTGTGCGGTTTTAACAACACAGCAGACGTATAGTGTTCAGAAGAAGAGAGCCGACACATAAGAGAGCAGACACAGTGAATATAACAAAGACACAGGGGGCGTTCACAACAACAGGGGAGACAGAGTGTGTGATGCCCGAGGCGGGCACCAAGCGAGGCATTCATAGCCTCATGTGAGAGCCCAGCCCAGGGGCCAGATTCACGAAGCAGTTACGCAAGCACTCACGAACCTGTACATCTTTTCTCAATCTTTGGCGTTTTGTTTACAATTATTAAACAGTTAATGAGCTCCGAAGCACCAGGAGGCTGTTTATAACAATAACAACAGTTGATTGGCAAGTTTTCATGTTTGTAAACTGTTTAATAAATATATGACTATATAGCACTGGGAAGGGGGGGTCAGGATAAGGATTTTGGGACGGGACGGAGGGAAGGAATAGTGATAAACCACTAGAACGATCGGGGGATTGAACCCCCGACCTAAGACCGTCGCTCTACCGTCCAGCCCAAGTGTAGTGTAGACAGGGAGTCGAGCTGAACACCATCACACTCTTAAGCAGTGTGACCCCCAGAGACAAGCCAAACTGATCCCCCATTACAACACCAACAAATGACGTGTTAACACTGATGTAGAGGAGATCCTGGCAAGAGAGAACACACATATAGACCGGTGTTGTGTTACGGGGGTTCCCACACCCCCCCTCTACCCCCCCCCTACCCCCCTACCCCCTCCCCCTCCCCCTCCCCGGGGGTTGGGTAACCTACACTACGCATCCTGCTTGGGAGAATTCGTTGCACTTGATCTAGGTGCGTTCGATGCATTTATGATAAACAATTACACAATGTTTATGTAAAATAAGAAAAACTAAAGCAGTGACGTAAGATATAAACTACAAGTTCATTAACAAAATACACACACACACACACACACACACACACACACACACACACACACACACACACACACACACACACACACACACACACACACACACAATGATTGTAAGACCAATCCTGGAGTATGCGGCCCCAGCATGGAGCCCGTACCTTGTCAAGCACAAGACGAAGCTGGAAAAAGTTCAGAGGTATGCCACTAGACTAGTCCCAGAGCTTAGAGGCATGAGTTACGAGGAAAGGCTGCGGGAGATGCACCTTACGACACTGGAAGACAAAAGAGTAAGGGGGAGACATGATCACTACCTACAAAATCCTCAGGGGTATTGACAGGGCAGACAAGGATAAACTATTCAACACTGGTGGTACGCGAACAAGGGGACACAGGTGGAAACTGAGTACCCACATGAGCCACAGAGACGTTAGAAAGAACTTTTTCAGTGTCAGAGTAGTTAACAGATGGAATGCATTAGGAAGTGATGTGGTGGAGGCTGACTCCATACACAGCTTTAAATGTAGATATGATAGAGCCCAGTAGCCTCAGGAACCTGTACACCAGTTGATTGATGGTTGAGAGGCGGGACCAAAGAGCCAAAACTCAACCCCCGCAAGCACAATTAGGTGAGTACACACATGGGTGGGTAGGGGGTGTCCGAGTGAACAGCGCACTAGACTCGTAGACCTAAGAACCGGGGTTCGAGTCCCCGTCACCCCCGGAAAAACAAATGGGCAGAGTTTCCTTCGTCCTGATGCCCCTGTTACCTAGCAGTAAATAGGTACCTGGGAGTTAGACAACTGCTACGGGCTGCTTCCTGGGTGGGTGTGTGTGTGTGTACTCACCTAGTTGTGCTTGCGGAGGTTGAGCTTTGGCTCTTTGGTGTGTGTGTGTGTACTCACCTATTTGTGCTTGCGGGGGTTGAGCTTTGGCTCTTTGGTCCCGCCTCTCAACAGATCAATCAACTGGTGTACAGGTTCCTGAGCCTAATGGGCTGTGTGTGTGTGTGTGTGTGTGTGTGTGTGTGTGTGTGTGTGTGTGTGTGTGTGTGTGTGTGTGTGCGTGTGCGTGTGCGTGTGCGTGTGCGTGTGTGTGTGTGGAAAAAAATAGTTAGTAACAGTTGATTAACTTCCTAACCCAGTGAGTTCAAGAACTTCAAATGGCTAAAAAGACGGGGAATAACCGAGCAAATCAAAATATTTTCAGACACTGTGGGCCTTGCTGTCTCACGCCCCTCGCCAGCCGCCTCTCATAATCACGCTGCTGACTCAAGCTGACGCCCTGAACCCTTCTGTCCACACCCACCGTCTCCCCCGTCCCATTACTCACCAGCTTGGGGGTTCATATACGAACTAGAATTCCCACTCTAATCTAAGCTTTTGATTTTCCACGACTTAGCCAACATAAATTTCCATGTTTCTCCCTATGGCTATATATATATATATATATATATATATATATATATATATATATATATATATATATATATATATATATATAGTCACCCTTTATGTTTGCTTTTATTTTATGTCCTATGGATCATCCAATAAAATCAGCAGACTTCTAGATGTTACTACTGCTCGGCTTAGACTCGGTTACAAGTATCTCTGGGAATTCTCATTATCTGCTGATGTAGACCTGACCAAATGTAAACTGTGTCAACAAAATTATTCGCACACCCTCCGTCACTATGTGATGGAGTGCGAAAAGATACGTGAATTTAGAGACAATTCTATAACCAATGTTCCAGCGATGTGTCAATATTTCATTCAAAATGATCTGCTACCAGAAAATTTTAGCCAAATATCCCCAGTTTGCTAACTGTAGGTAGTAACTAAGTGATTAAGCGTAGTAACTAAGGTAGTGATTAAGCGTACTAACTAAGGTAGGTAGTAACTAAGTGTAACCTATCCACCGCTGCCCACTGTATGGGGGGCGGTGTGCAGGACAAACATATAAATTTTGACACTAGCTCTCCACATATGTCAGTTGCTTAATTTAGAACCTGTACTTGAGGTCGATCTCGAACCCATTGTTGATGTGACGACTTATATTGAATTTTGTAACTAGCTCATCAAGATTGTAACTTGCTTAGCTAAATGAATTGTGGGGTTCAGTCCCTGATCCCATTATGTGCCTCTGTAACCCTTTCCACTACCGCCCACAAGATGGGTATGGGGTGCATAATAAATGAACTAAACTAACTAAACTTTTATGTTTGCTACATGTTGCCAGTTATCTCACCATCTTTACTGGAATCTTAAAACATAGTCCAGTGTCATTTTGGGAACAAACATTTGTTGTTGTTTTAGATTCAGCTACACGGAACAAAAAGTTCCAAGTAGCACGGGCAATGGTGAGCCCGTAGTGGACTTACCTGGCACAGGAGCGGGGCTGTAACTGTGTATCGAACATTTGTTAGTGTCAAGACGTTTAATAGTTTACTAAGGGATCCCACACCCATCCTGTGAGCGAGAGGCAGAAAGGTCAGGCACGTCACGGGTTCGAGTACTCAACCCGATATTGATCTTTAAACTAGGAAATTTACATTGGGGTGAACTAGTTACATATACACACAGAAATCACAGTAACGTGATATATCAAATGAATAAATCCACTAGGGTCGTGATGAGGGTTCGAACCTAAGCACGGGATGTTCCCAGCTGCGTCTTGGTCAACTGCGCTACGACATGGTCAAAAGAATTGCAACCTGGAGTGCTACTGACCTCCCGAAGCTTCTCCGAAGCGAGAGAGGAGTAAAAATATATATTAATAAAAAGTATAAGTATAAAAATATACTTCTCCCCCATACAACTGTTTTATATTTATATATATTATATATATATATATATATATATATATATATATATATATATATATATATATATGCCACCTGAGTATATATATATCGGGTGTTAAAACCGCTTTTGGGCTTCGGAGAAGCTTTGGGATCCTAGTGAGGTCAGTAGCAATCCAGGTTGCAATTCTGTTGACCATGTCTTGGCACAGTTGACTAAGATTCAGCTGGGAACATCCCGTGCGTAGGTTCGAACCCTCATCACGGCCCTTGTGGATTTGTTAGTTGCATATAATGATATACGTTGCCAATCATGCACCCCAAAGCCAGCCATATGGTAAGATATTCTAAGTGAACCTGGTGGTAAGATTACCTAAGTGAACCACCTGATGCAAGCTTCTGGGGCCAGATTCACGAAGCAGTTACGCAAACACTTACGAACCTGTCCATCTTTGGCGGCTTTGTTTACAATTATTAAACAGTTAATGAGCTCCGAAGCACCAGGAGGCCGTTTATAACAATAACAACAGTTGATTGGCAAGTTTTCATGCTCGTAAACTGTTTAATAAATGTAACCAAAGCCGTCAAAGATTGAGGAAAGATGTACACGTTCGTAAGTGCTTGCGTAACTGCTTCGTGAATCTGGCCTCTGGTACTTGGCTTACAGTTTTGGAAATACATTATTTGGATTGAAATAATTTGAAGTTTCTTAAACACTCGTGGTAGAGGTATCTCTATAAATTCTTGAAGTTAAACCACCCATCACAGTGATGAAGGATGAGCGGACAGTTCATCTGACGGTAAACTCAGGTCTACATCGGCAGGTGATTCACACTCCCAAATATACTAATTAGCCGAGTAAATAGTATATTTGGGATCTAGGAGTCAATTGGTTTTGTTAGACGAACGTAGATGTGGCTTGTCCTATAATGTCATGGAGCTGACCAACTTTATTTCCTTAACCCGAGAGTAATATACGTTGCTTTTTAAGTCATTAAGAAGAGCTAATGGTTTTATAAAACTGATTAAAATCGACGACTCTATCCATTAACCTCTTTTATGGATATCAAAATGCAGAAAAATTGAGTTGTGGAAGTTTTGCACAAATTATGTTGATGCCACGAGACATACTCCCTAATATATGGCCTAACCACTTGGGGTGGACGGTAGAGCGATGGTCTCGGTTCATGCTGGTCGGCGTTCAATCCCCGACCGTCCAAGTGGTTGGGTACCATTCCTTTTCCCCGTCCCATCCCAAATCCTTATCCTGACCCCTTCCAAGTGCCGACCAATCAGAATGGCTTGGCTCATTCTCCTGATAAGTTTCCTTCCTTCCCTAATATAATAGATTACTTGGTGACGGGGGAAAAAAACAGAGGCAGGAAATGGAAACTGTCAATCTGTCGATTATCTGGTGATGACAGGTGCCGGGGTGAGAGGCAAGATGGGCTGAAGTCCCAAGGAACTTACCTTGAGGACGAGCCGTGTCTTGGAGTCCCTCACCAGGGTTCAAGGACGAGCTACGGCAGCCACCAACACGATTCTCCCATTATGGAATTTTTTCTCAACAATTGCAGACTGTTTCATAACTTTTCACTTGTATAACAGACGATGACGCTAGTCGCGTAGTTTTTTCTCCTCTAAATTCAACACTAGAGGGATAACTGCGCACTGTGTAGAGTTCGCAAAAACTTGACGTTGAGGGGCTTAACTCTGCTGTATCTCTCCGCAGGTGCAGTGCATGGATTATCGACATCTATTATTATCATTTCTTATTGGTTACTTAAGGAGTTATACACAAACCGCTTACTGCACAGTTGTTGTTGTTTCAGATTTTAGCTACTCAGAACGACGTGTCCATGTAGCACGGGCTATGGCGAGCCCGTAACACAGCACAGTGAAGGGAGTTCAACTTGTCCTTACCTGCCCACACACCTCATCACGGCGAGTCCCAGGTGTGCTTGAGGGGAGTCAACATATGCAACTCTTAATTTATCTCAAAGGTTTATATATAGCAACAGCCTTCAGCGATACCGACGACTCTTACCGACACGAGTATCGTACCTCACTATCGTCGCGGGCACGGTCAACCACCGTCCACCAACCCGGGTACATCAATATATATGTTTTACAGCCAAACATACAAGTTTCACGATGTTTACACCTAACTCCTGATCTCAAACCATCGCTATTGCAATTATTAATCATCCATTACTTGAAAGTTACCTAGTGTATTAATGGTTAGACATGGAGTTAGGCGCGACTGGCCGCGAGCGTACACACACACACACAGAGCAGCGGGCCAGCACCAGCGAGGCCGCATGGCAGACTGTGGGCAGGTCTGGCAGCAGCAGCACTGCTCGACCCAGAGTGTGACCGCGACTGTTGGCGCTCTGTCTCCCGCGCGCCAACTCGCCGGGGCTCTCGCGCGCCAACTCGCCCGGGCTCTCGCGCGCCAACTCGCCGGAGCTCCCGCGCGCCAACTCGCCCGGGCTCTCGCGCGCCAACTCGCCTGGGCTCTCGCGCGCCAACTTGCCGGGGGCTTTCGCGCGCCAACTCGCAGGGGCTTTCACGCGCCAACTCGCAGGGGCTCTCGCGCGCCAACTCGCCGGAGCTCTCGCGCGCTAACTCGCCGGGGCTCTCGCGCGCCAACTCGCCCGGGCTCTTGCGCGCCAACTCGCTAGGGCTCCCGCGCGCCAACTCGCCTGGGCTCTCGCGCGCTAACTCGCCGGAGCTCTCGCGCGCCAACTCGCAGGGGCTCCCGCACGCCAACTCGCCGGGGCTCCCGCACGCCAACTCGCCGGGGCTCCCGCACGCCAACTCGCCGGGGCTCCCGCGCGCCAACTCGCCGGGGCTCCCGCACGCCAACTCGCCGGGGCTCCCGCACGCCAACTCGCCGGGGCTCCCGCACGCCAACTCGCCGGGGCTCCCGCACGCCAACTCGCCGGGGCTCCCGCACGCCAACTCGCCGGGGCTCCCGCACGCCAACTCGCCGGGGCTCCCGCGCGCCAACTCGCCGGGGCTCCCGCACGCCAACTCGCCGGGGCTCCCGCACGCCAACTCGCCGGGGCTACCGCGCGCCAACTCGCCGGGGCTACCACGCGCCAACTCGCCGGGGCTCCCGCGCGCCAACTCGCCGGGGCTCCCGCGCGCCAACTCGCCGGGGCTCCTGCGCGCCAACTCGCCGGGGCACCCGCTATCCTGCGCTCCACCTTACTGACGATTCTCGTGTTCACTCTCGTGCTCACTACTATAAGTAACGTAATAACTTAAACTTGTAAAATCATTCTATTTATCTTATCTACCGTTGGGCATCTCGTATATTTAGTTTATCCACAAGTAGACTTGCTGTGTTTGTTGTAAATATCAGTACCCAAATGTAACTTTTCATAACATTCAAAAGGAGTGAATGTCTAGGTACGAGGCATGTGAGGAGGGAACTATTTCGCAAATCCACACCTGCCACAGGTGTTATCATGCTCATTAGTGTGTTCCTCTGACCTTGTTTTTTTTCCGAGAAAAACAAAATCCATAACTACCTTTATAAAGTATACATGTGCACAGTATTTTCGCTACCTCGTGTGCATAATAATTTTCTGACATACACTCTAGGTGTGCACATACAAGCACACATCAACACTTCATACAAACCTTTTCACACACACACACACACACACACACACACACACACACACACACACACACACACACACACACACACACACACACACACACACACGAAAACAAACTTAAATACACAAGCACAACTTGCACATAAATAACTCTCCAGACACCAACCGGAACGCTTTGAAGGAGACTAATGATTGATTGATGTAGATTAAGGCACCCAAGAAGTGGCACGGGCATGAATAGCCCGTAAACCTGGAGATTAATGTCGTCTATGCCGACATTAACTCATGCTCACTTGGGGGGATTGTCAGCCCCAACGATCTCAACATATAAACAAGACAACGTTTCTTTCAGGGCGCCTGACAATGAATAAACAAATTGGCTCTATAAAAGATCACATTATATTTTATATATATACATATATATATATATATATATATATATATATATATATATATATATATATATATATATATATATATATATATATATATATATATATATATATATATAATGTGTGTGCACGCGTAAGTGTGTGCGTGTGAAGGTTTATGTTTAGTGTAGATACTACTGTTGATGTGCATATATAGTGTTCGCGCTAATTATAGGATATTAAATGATTCTTTTAAAAGTTTCCAAGAACAATTTCATGTTAAATAAAATTATAATTTGGCCATCGAGGGAGGGTAGAAAATTAGCTTTATCCCGACGTAAGTATTCGACCCGTCTCTGGGAAAAAAAAACATGAAATTTCCAGCTGTGAACTTTAGAATGAAGTTAAATGTCTGACACAAGTGTTGAAAATGTGGAAACACCTGTGTTTTACCGCGGGCAAAGCCGCACAAACATGTGCACTGTACGTTGACCAGACCACACACTAGAAGGTGAAGGGACGACGACGTTTCGGTCCGTCCTGGACCATTCTCAAGTCGACTGTGTACACTGTACACCTCAAATACACCCAAACATACGTCAAATGCATCTGTAGCAGGTATTTACAACCACTGACACAGGTAAACCAAGAGGTCACCTAAAATAACAACAAGTTCAATAATAAGATCCTTGAAGGAAAATGTTCAACCGATAGGTGAAGACTGAGGGTCTTGTCTCAAGCAGTAGACTTGACCCCTAGGAACACTGACCTCTCAGTCAGCTCTAGTTCAACAATTGAGTTATCGTCAACATATTTCATGTGGCATCATCTGGCAATGTCCATTCGAAGGTCAAAATCTATTCTGGTATGAGAAGGTAGAAGCTTTAATTCAAAAGAACGGTTACAAGTCTGTTGACATGGATCTGCCTAATTTAAGCATCCACGTGTTTAATGACAAAATATATAAATTTCACTTGAAATTTACAGAGTTCTTGAGATTAAATTTTTTTCGGTTTATTAACTGTCACGAATCTAAACCTTGATCTTAACTAAGGTTTAGATAACCAAATGCAGATGAAAAGGTCACAATAACTTGGCTAAAAAAAAATGTCGACCAAACCACACACTAGAAATTGAAGAGACAACCTCGTTAATTAGATAACCAACTTAAAGTCCTGTGACAGTCGAAGGTCACATCTAAGGTCCTGTGAAGGACCTTCATCAACGAAGAGTATGTAACCGTAACGTTACATACAGCGTTAGTAACAGTAACAAATGCGTTACCACCACGGGGCCTGGCAGCCTGGAGGATAGCGCGCAGTACTCGTAATTCTGTGACAGTTGAGAGGCGGGCCGAAAGAGCAAAGCTCAACCCCCCGCAAACAAACTGGGTGAATACAACTAGGTGAATACACGGAGGACTTCCCAGGGCAAGGAAGGCATTATTTACCCCTCGTGCACATAGTCGAAGGGCCAAGTTACAGCCCCGCTCCTGTGCCAGGTAAGTCCACTACGGGCCTATTGGTCCATATGAGGTCGCTCCTATTGGTCCATACGAGGCCGCGCCTATTGGTCCATATGAGGTCGCTCCTATTGGTCCATACGAGGCCGCGCCTATTGGTCCATATGAGGTCGCTCCTATTGGTCCATACGAGGCCGCGCCTATTGGTCCATACGAGGCCGTTGCTATTGGTCCATACGAGGCCGTTCCTATTGGTCCATACGAGGCCGTTCCTATTGGTCCATACGAGGCCGTTCCTATTGGTCCATACGAAGCCGTTCCTATTGATCCATACGAGGGCAAAAAACTATGCAGCACCTCCTATTGGTCCAAACTATGCAGCTCCTATTAGCCAAATACGAGGCAATTCCTCTATTGGCTCATACCAGACAGCTCTTATTTATATCCACCCAAACTCATTAATATACATGTCTAACCTACGCTTGAAACAATCCAGCTATCTTACAGCTATGATGTTAAACGGTAATGTGTTCCCTTAAATCAACAATCCACAAACCAGTATTTACCCAGGTTTTCTCTTAGACCAAACCATATCCAGGAGAGAGAATAAGTCACAATAACGTAGCCGTAAACACAACCCTGGTAACGACAGAGTTTACGGCTCGTCCAGCACACTCAAGTTGACATTTGAGGACGAAAGGTAGAAAAAATACCCATATAAGCCAAGAGAGGGGGGGGGAGGGGAGGGGGAGGTGATAGTGGGAATAAAAAAACTTTGTAAACTGAGTATACTTTTTGACTTCCTTGTTTACATCTGGCGTCGAGTGGGGTCTTACATGGGGCTTCCTCCCATTTTTTTCGTCAGTTCCCACTTGGTAAACGTTTTGTTTATTTTGGTTTCTACCACAGACGTGGCCACATATTTACAATGCTTACCAGCATATATATATACATTTCCTTCTGTCCTCCATGGACAGGTGGACGGACAGAACTACCGTCATCTGCATTATATATGTATATCGTATTATCTTCAGTTATTTGTATATTTTATACCTTATATCCCTTTTTATCCATTTATGTACATCAGTCATGTCCCCCTCTTGCCCTTCATCTTTCTCGAGAACGCTTAGCTTAGTCTCCCTTCACAAGGCAGAGTTCTCATCCTGGGATTAATTTCGTTATCATCCTCTATACCTGTTCAAGTGAATTAATGTCTATTCTCCTGAACGGTGACTAAAACTGAACTGCATAATCTAATCTGGGTATAACAAGTTCGATATGTTGATGAAGTCTAACATTAGATATCTTGTTGCAAGATATAAATCCAAATAAATAAATTGGGATTTATTTTTTCAATATTCCAATAAATCCAAAGAAATAATTTGCTTTATTCTTTATATTTATAATGTGATGTTTTGGCTTAAGATCTCGACTAATAACGACTCGCAAATCTCTGTTTCGCAATTTCAACATCATAATTCTCATTATAATTCTGGTAATTCTCATTATTAGACTCTGAACCCTACATTTGTTTCATTATATAATTACATTTCCAAATCATTCATCCATTTTAATAGTCTTGATGCAATTTCATGTCTTATTTTGAATACATGTCCCCGCCCTGTTTTTGTCTCGTCTGCAAAATTTTGTAAATATTGCAGATCAATCCTGTGTCTAAATCGTTTATATATATATATAGTACACAACGAAGGTCCCAGGACAGACTGGCACTCCACTTACAACTGTCTCCCACTAGTATTTAACCCCATTTATGGTAACGCTGTTTTTTTTTTTAACAACACCCAAATCCAAATTAGGATCAACCACCAATACCAGGACTTTATAACGACTCTCGTGAGTCAGACCATCAACGGCTTCTTGATGTTATCTTGAGGTTATCTTGAGATGATTTCGGGGCTTTTTAGTGTCCCCGTGGCTTTGGTAAAGTCAAGGTATAGAATGTCGCAATCCTGTCTGCTATTTTGACCAGACCACACACTAGAAGGTGAAGGGACGACGACGTTTCGGTTCGTCCTGGACCATTCTCAAGTCGATTGTCGACTTGAGAATGGTCCAGGACGGACCGGAACGTCGTCGTCCCTTCACCTTCTAGTGTGTGGTCTGGTCTACTTACTTTAGCTACGTTTTTGTGACTCATCGCCTGCTTTCTGCTATTGGCTGATTGGAAAATAATGAGATCAAATTTGCTAAACACTAAACATAGTTCGACATAAATCATCTATCTCCTTTCTTATAAATCATCACTACATTTGAAACCCTCCACGACTGGGCTACTCTGCTCGACTAATGATTTAACACATATGCAAGACAAGGCTCGTTAAGCTCTTTTCATTGTTTAAGACGATGCTTAATCTGGTCCTGGAGACTTGTTGGGCTTTAACTTGTCTTTGTTTAATAAGTTTCTCCTTGGTAACACTCAAGTTAGTCATCCTGTCCGCCTCACCATCCACATAGAGTTGATCAGTTGCAGGCGTCAAGTTCTGCTTACAGGCATAACATCAAGTTCTTCTTGCAGATATAACATCAAGTTCTTCTCTTAGACATAACATCACCTCTTCACACTCCCTATTCGCACACATGATTTCGAATCGTCACGACTCCTTATATAAGGAGTTTGTACAAGCACTGTAAATAAAAAATCCACAATGATTTAATTTCATAATCTTTTTTAGGATGACGTCTTCGACCCTGTTATGAAAATCCGACCCTTCTTCTTTAAAGTTCCCAAATTGAA